CAGAAGTAAAGTGCTTATTAGGGACTTGAACTCACTGATGATGCACTAAACATTGGCAAGGGAGTACCTGACTTCCATCTCAACTGGTTCGAAGTACTATATTTTTAGAACTAGAAGAGTGGCTTTGCTGGAAGTTGAAGTTATAACCTGTTGGGGAGAAAATGTACCCTTAAAATCATCTCATCAGGCAGAGAGCAGATGGGAATGCTTTTGACCACCTGTAGTTCAATATCGGAAGGCCTAATTTTAGCACAGGGCACTCCGGGTGAAAATGGGACATGCAGGGCGGTCAAGCGACCTTCTTTTACTTACAGAGGAACAGCTCTCGCTGTGTTGAGTAGCCTGACTGGTGTGATCCGAATTCACGTAGTAAGACTAGAATTCGCATGTTGGCCGTACAGTTAACTGCACTTTCTATGAGGCTGCCAAGCTGCGCTAGGCTACGTTTAAAGTATCTATGCTCACACTGTATAGCAAATCAGAAGAAAACGTAATCTGATCGTAAGTATCAAGTATTATCCTGTTTTTCGGATTTGTGGATATGCTTTCTTAAAAGACCTGCATACGTTCCTTGGTGTGCTCTGAATGGCGGAGAAATGGTTCGGCTAAAGGATAAAATACATAAATATAAATTGGAATGCTGTGCTAGAAATAGAGTTTTTACATTTTTTGAAAACAACAGAACTATGTAGACTTGAAGCTTTCGGTATCTTCTCGAAGGAAGTTTAAATATGGTTTATGAAGAGGTTCGCAATAGTGATACTAAAACCCCCATCAATATGCTGACGCTTTGTGATACTTATTTCAGCTCAGATGAATAGGGAAACCCGCACTTTCTTAGAAAAAACCCGGCTTAGTTTGCACTGGAGAGTTCTGGAGCGAGCCGGCCCGAATCTTCTAAAAACTCTGCGAACTTCCGGTTTTTCATTCACCTCGTCTAACTTAGAGCTAATGGATAGATACTTATGACGATATTTTGCCTCCTTTAAAAACATTTTGGTACTTTACTTCCCGTTCAAAATGCACAACAATAACTATTTTTAACTTTGCAGCATAATGCATTCTTATGTTGTAAGGAATTTCCAGAACTTATTTGTTAACTCAAGCACCGGCCACTTAAGTAGCTGCGGGTAGATAAGTAGAAATGTTGAATAAGAAAGTCCATATAGAATGTGATTCATCGGTAGCCACAAGGAATTGATGAACAAATCTACTCCCTAGCAATAAAAAAAAAACAAAACATACACAAAATTTAAGAAAAATCGTAATTGTCTTCACGTAAGCGTCAGTCGACTGCATACGAATTTTTTTTTTTCAGTAATTTTGTAGACAGGTCAATGAAATGGTAAGTGGAGTAATTAAACAATAACAATTATACACAGACTGTATGCGCTTTTTGTGTGCACTGTTTTGGAATATATGTACATACATATGTATGTATGTATACATTTATATCTATATGTATGCATGCTGAATTCTGTGGCACATAAATATTATTTCGAGAGTCGTAAGACACAATTTCATTTCTTGGTAAAACTCATGTGATTCATGCAGCATACGTTAAAAAAAAAAAAAAAAATATACATAAAAACTAGTGACGTCAGTCTGCAAGTCTGTTTTTATGACGCTCACTTTAAGCAAGTACTATGTACAATATACTCGTATGTATGCGTGTGTGCGAAATTTTTCAGCATCTGTTTGCCTTTTAGCAAAACATGTGCCAGCGGCAATTGTATTGTGTTGGACTTCGGACCAGCAGCAGGTGAGTGCATGGCAAGAAAATATAGAAAGCAAAAAAAAAAAAACACTAGATTAAACGGATTAAAAAAATTGGCAAAAAATGAGAAACTATGAAAATGTGTGAACTCAATTTAGGAAGAAAAGAAAACAAGATCTAAAGCGCTGCAAATTCAAGTTAATAGATGATTCATGACCAAGGCGAAAATGTGTTGTTGAACTTTGCTTAGAAATTATAAAAGACATATTAAGAAAGAAAACATAATAGAAACAGAAAAGCAAAAAAAAAAGAAAGGCTAAAAAAATATTTTGTTTGTGTTTAATATTGAAATCGATGCCAAAATGTATATGAGGCATCATAGTTTTTGCTGCAAGAAATTTATATACCTATTTATACATATGCGTATATGAATGAGTGTAAAAAACATACACGTCTGCAAATTTTGACATATTTTCGACATTTCTTTCATAAAAATCTTGTGAAAGTATTACGGTTTGGTGACACCCACGCCTACACACATACATAGATGTATTTAAAACAATTTTGCGCTGAAAGCTGTTCACTGGCAGTTGTTTACCACTGGTATATGTATGTACATAAGGATGGTATAAAAAAGTTACCAAAAGTTACCGAAAAATACACCACTGTGGTATAGAATTCTTGAAAATTAATATTTTTCGATCGGAAAACTCTTTTTCTCTATCTTTGATGAAAGTTTCCTGAAGAGACACAGTGTTTTTCGATCGAAAAAAAAAATTAGTTTCAATAATTCTATAACTTTTCTACGAAAAATTGTTTTTTTTTTTTCCTTACAAAATAAATGGAAAACTTTGAGCACTTTGAGCGACCTCTCAATATGTTTTGATTTCAACATATCAAAAAAGGGGTATATTTTTTCGGTATAGAGCAATCCGAGGGGATCAAATCTTTTAAATTTCGAATTTACTTTTTTTGAACCAACCTAATGCACATATGTATGTATGTAAACTTTTGCATTAACATGACCACAATTCATGTTTCTTTGACTACGCAAAAAAGTTGTGATATATTCATATTTTTACGTGCATAGAAAGTAAAGAAACGAAACTTAATAGATCATATGCTTGGCGGCACGATAAAGCTCTGTGCTGTATGTAGCTATGAATTTACTTCCGAACAAAAAAAAAACATCACTAACAACTACCCAGTGGGAAATTGTGTCGATGCAACGCTCTAACTACTTTTGGCAGCAGATTGAATATTCTAAATGAATTACTCTTTAATACCACAACAGCGGGTCCAGGAAATGATGAACTCTTCCTCTAGGGAAGTTTTTTGCTAAGTCCTCCCATAAAAGATCTCGAGTATGCACGAATAAAGTTAAAGCAAGTAAAGTAGCAAGAATTTCCATCGAAAGGTTTCTTTTGTACTGCCACAAAAAATCGAATATGGGAACTGAATATTAGCTGGAGGCTATAATAATATTCATGCTAGGATAGCCATTCCTGCTCGCTTCAGCCGTTCGCTATTCAGGGGTCTTTAAAGGCTTATTCAGTATGTTTGGAAAATTAAATAAATTGAGTGTACGTAGCTTAAAAGAGGTATTGTATTCGTTGTTGATAGTCAAGCTGCTATCAAATCATCAGGGCGGCAACTACTATTACGAAACGTGTTAAGGAATGCCGATGACCCCTCAAAGCTCTTCAACTACGCATAAATAATCTTTACTGGGTCCCCGGACATATTGGAATTACGGGAAATGAGGAAAGGCACGAGTGTGCTAGAAAGGGATCTGAGATAGAATTAGGTGAAACGGTTCAGTTTGTTGTTGAGAAAGTGACCAGGGCCCAGGCTCGATGAACGTTAGGCTTTTTTTGGACTGCTCTTTTTTCGAAGACTGAACAAGGGACCAAATTATCTGATAAAAAGTGAAAGCGTCAATGTAAAAGCAACTAAAATAAGAAAAAATTCGCTCAGCAAATGCAAAAATAATTATTGGCAGACAGGTTTCGCTGAATTCAGCAAGAGTGACGTCAAAACATGCGGCTCGGCAAACAAAAAAAAAGCAAAGCGATTTTCATCATTACCCAAGGTCTTCTTTGTGTGCAGCAAAGAAAACATAGCACATGCACATATATTTTAATGCGATTTTAAAATGTAAACAAAAGTGAAATTATTGAAATTTTTGTGGCAAATTGAGTATACTCATACACGCCCACACAAACACACTGGCTGGCTAACGAAGAAGCTAATCAAACAGATCATTAGCGCGCAGTGTAAGCAAGTATATAAACAGCTGACCATGTGCATTTACATATGTATGTACATTAGGGTGGCCCATAAAACATACATGCGGGGGAAAAATTTCAAAATGTTAAGCTGTTAAGGGTTTTCTATATGGATAAAAGAATACCCGTACTTTTTTGTTAAAAAATAATAATAATATTTAGAACAGCCTTAAAGTCTGTGAAGTTTTCCATGTATTTTATATGGGTAAAAAATACTTTTACATAGAAATGGTATACAATTTTTGAAACACATTTCGATCGGAAAACTTTGTTTCTCTTTCAGAGACTTTCTATATAAGTACCCACAGGTTTTTTCTTAACTATTTTTAGTATTAATTATTTTTTAAAGGTACCCCAAAAACCCCCAAAAATTCAATGGGGGGACCCATAACAAATAAATAATTGGGTATTATTACTGAAAGTGTCCTGAAGAGAGTTGGAGTCTTCCGATAATATAAATACATAGATTTGAGGCTGTTGTAAATATACATTTTTTTTTTAACAAAGAAGGACGGGAATTCTTTTTTTCCTTTTAGAAAAATCCTCGGGAGTGGGTGCTTAACATTTTACACTTTTTTGGACCACCCTAATGCACATATATGTATTTTTTAGCATGTGTGTGGAGTGTGTGTATAGTCATGTGTGCTTTTGCGGTATGAATAAGTGCAGATGTACGTACATACGTTTAAATTTATTTTGTTTTGGGCTGAGTCTGCACTGATTTTGATATTTATTTTTTGTTGCTCACTGGCTTGCTTCACTAAATGAAAGTGCACTTTGTTGTTGCTGCAATTCACTCGTGTCTGCTAGGCATTGCTTGACAATGAGGCAAGCGCTAAGTTTAAAGATTTATGTAGTATAAATTAGTTAGCAACTCACCTGACTGAGTGTGTACGAGTGTGAGTATGAGTTACGCAGTGTTTTAAATAAGTAAAATTTGGTTGTTTATTTGGATTTTGGAATGTTTTGTCTTCCAAACATACAGACTTACATACCTGGTAATATGGCTCCATTTGCCAATCCTAGCGAAAGCGTCAAAATCAGCGACAACAGCAACATTTTAGTTTGATGATTAAGTCGCCGTTAAATTAATGGAAATTTTCAGTTGTGTTCACTAGACTTCTTCGTTGGCCGATGATTTCCAAGTGTTTTTGCTTGGTTGCTGACCGCAGAATTTGGGGATTTTACAGTTGGTTATAAATATTTCGTTAACACTTTACACTCATTTTTGGTTGTTTTTGGGCTGGTTTGCACAAAATTATTATTTTTATTTAAATTATTTTTTATTTTAAAATGGAGTGTCTAACTTTTTCCTCAGAATAAATTATTTCACTTGAAAAGAAATCTAAACGAGGGTTAGTTGTTGCTATTTTTCAAATTAATATTTTATATTATATAGATAAGTATTTGATAAAAACTTTTCTAGTTTTGTAGCTCACTATTTTTTAATAAGATACAAAATAAAACTGTACAGCTTCCGCACTTGTATCACTTTTCCGTATAAATTTCTGGATTGCTGCAACGAAAATGATAAATAAACAAATTATAATTATTTGGCATTAAAGTTGGTTTTTACTGTCTACAAAACATACATATGTATGTATATACATGTTTTCGAAAGTTAAGTTTATATTTTATCATATGTAGCTATTGAGACTGCAAGTCCATCAATGCCACAAAAACAGCAGGACATCATTTGTGCTCATTTAGAAAATTCGAGCGTTAGCGATATCAATCCCGAAATTTTCTTGATTGGTTGCTTGCGAATTTCGGGATTGATATATATCCCACGAATTATAAAATGCCGAGTCCGGCATTAACTGTCAATCCCGAAAATTTCGGGAATGGTTTCGATGGTTTTTGGTACTGCTCAAATTTTCAAAATTATTATGCAAGTTCATCAAATTAAGGGAAATATTTAAAACTTTTCCAAATATTTTTGCAAAAAAGAATTAGGTGAATAAATTTGGAGTTGGTGCCATAAAATGTGATTTAATCTTTTCTATATGAAACGTAACAAATGCATCGCGATCATTTATAAAAACTTCTTAAATTCATTTTTCGTCATCCTGATCTTATACATACATATAATAATGATCTAAAACAATGTCAGCGCTGTCAATCCCGAATACTTTTGGAATAGTTAAAGTAATTTTTGTGCCTGTCTAAGTTTCGAAAGTTATTTTATAGGTTCGAATATGTATGAAAACGACTGAGTTTCAGAAATTTTTCGAAACATAAATTTTTTCTAAAAAATTAAACAAAAATGCCTCTGCAAAATATTAAGAAACTCTATTTTAGATTCAGAAAAAATCACAAGAATCCCGAAACCAGTAAGAACGAAAATGTCTGTATCTCTATTGCATATACAGCTGAGTCCTCCCCACACAGCAAGCGAAACTCCCAAGGTTTTATAAGTTTTTGTAAAAGTGATGGTAAAGCACCTTGTAATATGTATACAAACAGCGCAGCCCACGCGGAAATTACGTACATATGTACGTATATGTAAAAATCGAACAAATAAATAAATCAACAAGCAATTATTTGGGGCCAATATACAAATTCAAAATGGATTAGGGTGGAACATCATTTTTGAAAGGCGAATAATTTTACATATAAAATAAGATTTTTTTTCTGATTGACTACTTCGTTGAGACAAAACAAAAAAAACAAGGGAGTCAGTTTCCGCAACAAGAAGAAAACAGTAAACAATAAAAAAAAAAAACAAATAAGAAAATAAAAAAAGAGATTGGCAAATAAATTAAATAATTTGAAAAAATTTATAAACTAAAATAACTTAATTAAAATAACTAAAAAATTTAATTTTATAAAAAATGTTATTAAATTAAATACTATAAAAAAAAGATAAAATTAAATTAATTTAAAAAAACCCAACTTATGTACGTACAAAAAATAAAATAAAATAAAAATAAAAAATAGAACAAACTAAAAAAAATTAAAAATAAAATAAAATAAAAATATAATAAACTTAAAGGGAATAAATAAATGAAAATAACCAAAACTTAAATAAAAAGTTATCAGCAATAAAATAAAATAAATTAAAATAATTAAAATAAAAAAGTAGTAAAAAGAAAAAAAATAAACTAAATTAATTTAAAAAAAATAGTCACCCTAATGAACGTGTAAATATAGTAAAATAGAATAAAATAAAATTAAACAAAATAAAGAAAAAAATAATAAATTAAGATTAACTAGAATAGGCAAAAAATAGTGCCTTGTAAATTTTGTAAGCAACCAAGCGGGTGGCTAATTAAGTTTGTTTAGCTGCAATAAATTGTTTGTTTAATTTGTAATGTAATGAAGATAATTAAAAATCTTGCGCGATTTGTTTGCGTGCTGTTCTTTTTTTGCCTTTTGAAATGTTGGTTGTACATGTAAATACATACATACGTATGTAGGTAAATAGCTCTGGAAGAATAGAACTTTAATCATGATAGATTGAAGATAAATTAAGAAACGAAAATAAACACATCAAGATTAAAGAGACCATAAATAAGACGAATAAGGGCTGTTTTCTCAAGTAGGTTTTAGAACTTATCTGTTCTAAAAAAATGTGTTTGAAGGACTGATAAATTTTAGAACCTACTTGATAAAACGGCACTAAATATTTTTATATTTTTGCCCAAATTAGGAGATACGTTGTACGTTTATTCTATTTTTTAAGTACTCATAAGTATGCCGGAAAATAATTAATAATATTCGCTAGATTTGAAAAGGCCCTAAAAACTTCGAAGGAATCGAAACTTTTACTGAACTTTCAGCATTTGTACGAAATATTTTTGCAGTTTCGATTTTGCGAGTTTTATCAGTTTAGGAAAAACACCTCTTTATGGAATAGAAAAAGTGAATTATTAAAAAAATATTTTTGATTCATTTTAAAATTCATTAAAAAAATTAAATCTGCCCACACGATTTACAAATGTGTACATTTAAAAACATATAAAAAATCCCATAAAAAGGCAAATGCTTATTAAAATCTTAATATTTCAGTAATGAAAATTATAAACAAATTTAGTGGACGTTTTTATTTATAGCCGCATTTATTTTTCATTCGCTTTGCTTACAGCCTTTGACAATTTAAAAGATGTACGTCAAATTATAAATGGGACAAAAATATATTGAATAATTTAAAGATGCAAATAAAAAACAAGCAAAACATGATATAAAACAAAACACAGCAATAAATTTTCAAAGAAATTGGTTGAATTTCCAAGGAATTAATTGCCCATTTTTTTCTAAAATGACACAAACATTTGGATTATTGCCACGTTTTCCAATTCATAAAGGTGAAGATTAAATGAAGAAATTATATGTGTACATTAGGGCGGGTCAATTTATATGGGAGATTTTTTCGACTATATGCGTATAGCACATAAAAATTATACGTTTACTTTTAGGAAAATTTGCCGAAGAAACCAAGGATCTAAAATCAATTTGGATTTTTTTAAATTACAAAAATAAGTTTCTTAGCATTTTGCTGTAGTGTCGTAAAGAAGTGGTTAAATTTGAATAAAAACATGCTATAGAGTTTTTTTTGGTAAAAATAATCCATTTCAGCACTTATATTTTTTTTAAAACTTCCACCAGAGGGCGCAATAGTAAAAATTTTCACATTTTCTTAGAAATATATTTACGCAATTTGGAAAACTCTGAATTAATTTTAAACCCACGGCTTCTTCGGCAAATTCGCTTAGAATTACAGGTCGAGTCCTTAGGGTCAAAACATAGTGGAGCGGCGAGAAAAGAGCATAGAGCAAAGCGTCGATTTCAAACGCATATGTTTTAATGGGAGAGCGCACAGTGAAGAGCAAAACTTACATACACGTTTGTAATTGAAGCTTTGCTCGATGCTAGCTCTTCGCTAGCTATGTTTTTGGCCTTAGAGAGCGCTTAGAAAAAAAAAATAAAAAAAATGACCCGCCATAGTGTACATACATATGTACGTATGTATATTTGTGTGTGCTCGACCAAATAAAGCCATAAAGAATACATATTTCTTTAAACAAGAAAAATCATGGAAAGCCTGAATAATTTTTTAAATTATTGAACGAATTCTTTGTCGAAATTCTACTATTTTTTTCTATTTTTCGTCTCTAAATTTTTGCTAACGAATTCCCAATAGAGGTATAACCTTTTTTTAGTGCTCACATCTTATGAAAAAAATTCAAGCCGAATCTAAAATATGAAAGCAAAAAAGGGTGTACGATTTGTAAGAGAATGACCCACATATATGTGCACTTTTGTCTTGTCAACTATTTGCGGTAAACAATGACATCTACAGAGCTTAGAACTCAATACTCAACACACCTTTTCAAACAAAAACTTCCTACTTTGTTATGGTATTTCTATTTTGTTAGTACAAAAAAAAATCAATCACTTTCGATAAGAATGACGCTCTCGGCGTATTTGCTTATCAAATCGTCTTTAAATCATGCGATAACGGAACGCCAGACAAGAAAAAAATTTTAAATGGTAGACATGAAGAAAATGGTAATGGTACATACATATGAGTAGAACTAACAAAGACGTAGAAGGAGTGTCAAAAACAAAAAAAACCCCAAAAAATAAATAAAGAAATAAAAAAGAAAAGAAATCTAATAACGAAATAAAAAACCTAAAAGAAGAAAAAAAAAACAAACGAGGACGTAAAAATCGCAAACAAATACCAGACATATTTTTTTACGGCGGCTAAGGGTTTTTAATGTTCTGGGCCAGCAAGCACACACATTTTCCTCTACTTTTGAAGGGTTGATATAGAGTAAACTTAAAGCAACGAAAGTGGGAGAATGAGCTGAAAATGAGGTGAGGTGAAATGAAAAGGTGAAAGTATAGAGCTTGAAGCGAATGTAAAGCAACAAAGATGAAGGAGGTATTAAGCTTACGGGTAGAGAACTTATAAGTTCAGTGAGTAGACAAATACGTGTATGCGCGAAGTTAGATTAGAGTAGTAGCAGTGCGATGAAGGAATAAATAAGTACTTGGGAGGAGCTAGTGAAAGTTAAGCGATTAATGCAATGTTTTTGGGACTTAACAGGACCGTGGTTATGCGTGTTGGTAAGTTATTTATGTCAAAGGCGCGCATGGAACAATTTAATAGGACACGCGATGCGCTACTGAAGTTCAGGAGTTTAAGGGATGGTCTCCAAGGATGGAAAATCGATGTCAACACGGTAAGGAAAAAAGGAAAAAAAAACAAAAAAAAGAGGTAAACAATTCCAAAAAACTGCGACAAAGAAGTGGGTTTGTAGGTCAAATTTCGCAGGAATTGAATGCACAGTTATATGTATCTATGTTGAAAATATACACATACACAGTTTACTGAATTCAGTGGCGTGTGAAAATAACAAAAAAAAAGCAGCTTTTGGCTGTAACAAAAATATTAAAAGCACCAAAAACAATAAGCACAGTGTTTGCTAGTGCCGGGAAAGAAAAAAAAAACACAAAGGCTATTTGACATTCAAACTGTAATTAAGGTTCAAGTTGTTTGGTCAACAAAAAATAAATAAAAACCAACAAAAATAATCACCAAACTTTGCTACCAGAAAATAGTTGGCCTCTATTGCTGCTACTTTTGTTACGTTTCGCCGTTTGGCGCACGAGTCTCGTGTCTGCTGGCGCCCCCACAAAACGCATCGCGTGCGCACAATAGCTTACATTTTCGGTTAAACATTTTCAGACATTTGTAGTTTTTTTGTTAATATACTTTTCTATTCACTTATGTTTCTATTTTATTTATTTTTTGTTTGCCTGCGTTTGCTTTCATGTCTTCATTTTCATTCATTTGGTGGTCGTATGCACATACACCCAATTCATATGAAAAAACACAAACACAAAAATATATGTATAAATACATACATACATATACATATGTTTACTCGTAATAAGCGCACTTACCTACATACATACACACATGCAAGCAATGCTGCAATGCGGCAAATTTTGGTCTGATGACGAAATGTGGCAAACGAAATTGCTTGCTTTCGTTTTTGTTGTTGGATTTAATTTTTTTTATTGCGAAATTTATTGAAATTCGGTTTGATTTTCTTTTAGTTTTTGGAACTGAAACGGTAAGCAGAGCTTTTCGCGAACTTTTTATGTTTATTTATTTTAGATCATTATTTTTTTAATTTTTGCATGTATTTTTTTAAATTGTCCTCGGAACTGAAATAAAAAAAAAAGTTTAATTAAAAAATATTAGAAATTATTTTACACCGATTTTTCCCTATTTTTTAAATTATTTACAATACTTTTCGTGAATTAATTAAAGTAACAAAAACTTCGGTGGTGATCTGCATATTCAAATAATTTTCTGAACTAGTTTCCTAGAGATGAAAAGGTATATTTATTTTAATAGCATACAATTTTCTTTGGATTTAAGCAAAAATATATTATTAAAGAAGTTATTTAATTTTATACAGACGATTTTTTGAAAAAAATTTGTTTTTATTATTTTGTTTTTTTTTTTAATAAAATTTTTTAGAAATTAAATTTTATACTTAACATTAAAAAAAGAAAATTTTTCTGAACTCACAGCTTTTATATTTTTAAACGAAAATTTACTATACCTAATAAGATGAAAATGTTTTTGATATTTTTTTTTTAACCAAAAAGTATTTTTTGCACCAAAATGAAATTTTTTTTTGTCCTGTTTTTTTTTGTAAAATTGTTTAGAATCATTTCTTAATTTAATTAGATTTCTGGATCATTTTATTATGATAATTTTAGGAAATTAAATTTTAATAAAGAAAGTCTTTTGTGTTAGAACCGAGCTACAAAAAAATTTTAATTTTCTAAGATTGATTTTTTTTCGTTGAAATTGAATAAATAAATAGAAAATTTGTAAATTGAAAGCAATTAAAAAATGTTAAACAGTCGATTTGAAAAAGATAACAACAATTGGTATATTTGTCCCAAAGGTATAAAATTTCTTTTAAGATAGGGTTTTCTTAAAAGAAAACTTATTATTTTTGCAGCGATATTTAATTTAAACTTTTGGTTTGAGCAAACCAGAAAAAGCACTTTTTTATTTTTTTTTGTCTTCGTAGAAAAACAAAACAAATTTACAAAACGGAAAAATAAATTAAGAAGAATAAAAAAAACTATTTCTATTGAAAAAATATTTATTAAGCATATTTTTGGTTAAACTTTATTTCCTTGAAAATAATTTAAAATTTCTATTAAACTTTATAGCTAATGTGGAAAGAGTTCTTATAGATATTAAAAAAAATATATATTTTTAAGTAAGTAGTAGTTTTACCCCTAAATTAATTTTAGCTATTTTTTGCAATTTCTACATTCTTATCGTAAACAGATAGGTAGTTTTTTTTTTACAAAAACTAATGTTTAAAACATTTCGGTGAAACTTATTTTTGGAACTCTTCTCTGTAAAAACATTAACAACAAATCGAAAAACAATATTTTAACCAAGGTTTTAACTAAGGTTTTTTATTTCGAAAGAAATTCTTTCAAGTTATTTTTTTTAACTGGCTGTATATTTTGCTAAAAATGCATCAAAAGTAAAATAAATGAAAAATGTTAAAATTCTTAATAATTTTATATAAAAAAGTTTTTTTTTTTTTTTTAATTTTACATAGTACACACATATCCATTTTATATTTTTTTTAAATTTCATGAAATCTCAAATTTAAAAAATTAATTAAATACTTTTAAAATGTCTTGCCTTTTATTAACATTTTTTTTTAATATTAGACGCAATTTAATATTATTTTATGTATTTTAAGTTTTTTGGGTAGATTGTGTGAAATTTCCATACCTTGAATTTTAGAAGTTTTGACTCTTTCACTTTTGTATGGCGCACTTTTTTCAAATATTTTTTCCTTAAAGGAGTTTATACTTTTTTACAGGAATTGTTTTTTTTTTTAATTTGATAATTTCTTAAAAACTTTTTTACGCACACCAGTAGTTTATTTGCTTCAAACACCCGACTTTTTTCAAAACTTTTCCAAATATTTTTCTTTTCACACCAAATATTTTTCTAAGTATTGTATTTCTTTTTCCTCCAAAAAGTGGTCTTCACACAATAGTATAACAAGTAAGTAAGTAGATTTTCTGCAGTCAACGCACTCGCACTCTTTTAGTACGTATTGTATGTAATTAACACGACGATTTCACGATTTACTTTCGCAAACAAATCGAAAAAACACAACCTTCGCGTTGTTAGGTCGTTGGTGGACTAAATGTTAGCGTCAGCTAGCAAATAGCCAAAACGATCCATGTTGGAGCTCGCTTGTGCTGACTATTTATTGTGTGGAGCGCATTGATAACGCGGCAAGAGAGTGCCAACGTGCTCCAACTCCGTAGTGGCTGCGGTTGCGTGTGTATGAGTAGGTGTGTTTGTTTTTGGTTTTCCCTTTTTTCTGTTTAGTTTTCTCTCTCTCACTCTGTTTTTGTTTCATCGCCCCCCGTTCATTTCTTTCCCTCGTTTGCCCCATATGGAAGTCTTTATTTGTTTTTTGTTGCTAATGGCATTTTATTTGGCAAAGTTTTTGTTTACGTTTGTGGATTGTATTGCTCAGCTGATTTTGCGTCTGGTTGGTAGCGAAAACTTTTATAAATGTCTACATAAATATATGTATATCTGTACTCAGCATATACGAGATACATATGTATGTACATATATACGTATGAACAACGCCATTCATGTCTGTTGTTTACTTTGAGTACTTTCGCTGTTGTTGTGTGGAGATGATATGTGAGCTTTGATCTTACCTGCTGTGTTTGAAAATTTGTATATTGCACAAAAACTTGGGGAAGTTTGATAGCTCAGCCTGCCATCGGTGGAGCTTAAATCTTGAGTTGCATTTCCTTATGAAAAGAACAATCCCCTTATTGCTAGAGTACCCATCTAGCTCCCAATTTACAGTCCCGATTTACAAACAAATCCAAGTATCCACGCATATGTACTAACAAGGAGCACCAAAACTCCCTTCGAACAAGGCTAAATTTCTCCTCCTATTATTATTAAAAAGTCGTCTGCTCGAAGTCTTAAGAACTCCGCTTTCCACCACTGCTCTCATACATATCTGACTAATTCTTCTATTTTATTTTTAAAAACATACACTTCACTGCACGTTGGCTCTGCAAATAGTTCCTACAGCTTCCTGCTAAATCACATTCGGCTGGTTCCTACTATGTATGTATGTATATCCGATTCGCACTACCAACACCAAGTTTTTGACGCGGATTCCTAAAAGGGAAGAATTGAGATCGGATTCGAATAGGAAGGAAAGATCTATCCATGTTTGTAAGAATGAGTCAAAACTTACTGTAAAACGTGTTGATGGTTAATACTCGAAATAATTATGTATATCTTCCAGTTTGCCTAATAATTATAGTGACTTTCAAGTAGACAACCCTTAGGGCTTAGATGTCGCTGATTATCAACGAGATAACTAAACTGTATCGACACATATCGTCTAGGTTCCTGACCATATCGAGGGAAACTGCAAAGTTAGTGAGCTTCTAGATTTTATATGACCTCAGACCGATAGAAATTAGGAACCTCGCCTTATTTTATGGAGTATCCATAGGTTTTCGATGGAACGGACACCCCAGCGTTGTCAAAAAGTACTGCACCCGGTAGAACCCAGCTTCAAGCTCTGGTCCATGGAAACATCTAACAAGTGTTTCTTTTTTCCTCAGAGCAGTCGCTCTCGGCAGGCTAATGGAAAACTGGATGTAACCGGAAATTAGAAAAGCAGTGACCACCACCTCAAAAAGTACTGCTCCCGGTAGAACCCAGCTTCAAGCTCTGTTCCATGGAAACATCTAACAAGTGTTTCTTTTTTCCTCAGAGCAGTTGCTCTCGGCAGGCTAATGGAAAACTGGATGTAACCGGAAATTAGAGAAGCAGTGACCACCACCTCGGAAGAGGCTAGATTTAACCCTTCTTTCATGGCAGCTACAAAAAGTTAATTTCACCTATTTTACGTACTAAAGCACTGATAACACGATTTGTACATTTGTACAGATTTGTCTACATAGTTACATAGTGGTATTATTTGGAAAGTTTTTACTTAGCTGCTCTCATTCTCGATAAAAATTTCTAGACAATACCACTCTGTGACTGCCAAATGTACAAATCGAGTGATCCCTGCTTTTGTGCCGAATACAAGAGATGGCATAAAAAAATATAATAAAAAAATCGGTTTAGCAATCCCATATTACTCCCCTAGATCTCTCGTAAAACGCTTGTGTACCTAGTCTTGTTACAAAATTCTACCAATCTACTGATGCAAAAATCAGCTGAATGCTGTTGTTGCAAAAAGTAAAAGCCACGAGAAAAAAAATAAGCAAATAAATAAACAGAAAATAATTAAAGTCGTTATTTCGATAAAATATCTCATTTCACAAAAGCAAAAAATATTCTAATTTTCACTCTGGCAGCCCCATTACGATCACATGTAGCCAAGCAAAGACCGCAATAGTTAGCTATTAAAAGCTGTTGGAGAGAGTAAGCTATTTGTAAGTAAATGATTCACGGTACGTTCGAACATACATGCAGCATTTGTATGCTCATTTTTGTGTGGGAATTGCGCCCAAAAAACATCGCAAAGAGCGTGAAAAGCCATATGCTCTGATGCTAACATATAGAGCTTGGGTGGCAAATCCAAAACTTTTTTGAGTGGTATTTTGCAGATAAATATGTATGTATACGTTTGAGTGGGAGTCAAAAAGCTTAACAGAATTTAGACAGGGTGACTCGTGCGTCGAAAAATATATTTAACAAATTTTAAAGAAAAGTTTGAAAAATTTCGAAATTGTTGGGGAAATTTTTATGTATTAAGTAAAAAGTTTTACATTTTTCGTTTAAAATATTTTGAAGGATGTAAAAATAGACTTTTAAGTGAACACATAATTAATATGCAATTTTATTTTACTTGTATATCAGTTTTATTTCGTTAAATTTTGTTCATATGTATATATATTTTAATTTTTTACGCATTTTAAAATTTAAAGAGAAACTTTTTTTTTAAATCCCGAATTTGCTGGTAATACTTATATTAGTGCGTTAAAACAAAATGTCGATGAAAGTTAAAAAATAAAATAAAAAATTCAACATGAAATTTTTTTTGTTTTCGATTTCATTTTACTCCGTTATCAATTTTGTTTCGCAAAATTTTTTTTTTATATATTTAGGTATTATTTGGTTTTTTCTTAATCTTCTTAAATTTTTTGGTAGCAACATGCTTTATCTAAACCCAGCTTCGAGGCAGGGTGACTCGTGCGGTGCAAAATAAACAAATAAAAATGTAAACAGGGAATTTAGAAAAACTACAAAAAAGCTTGTGAAATTGTTTACATTCCTTTAAACATTTTAGATGTTCGTTTAAATTTCTTGACGCATAATTTTTAGTACTTACCAATGGCAAAGGAAATCAAACAAAAAAATTCTTCCAAATGAAACTTTTTTTACGCTGACTTTTCTTGTAATTTTTATTTCGTTAAATTTTATTCATATATGTATGTATTTATTTATTGTGTTTTTCCAAATTTTCTTACATTTTTTTGGTAGTTTCTTGCTTCGTACAAACATAGCCTGGTTGCGATTACAAATACACACTTCACAGAAATTAAAATGAAAAATAGAATGTACGATGCAATTACATAAAAATAGTATGTTTTTTTGTATACGTTTGTATGCGCTAGAGTGGGTAGTTGTAATAACCGAAGATTTACTTAATACTTTTTAATTTTTTTTTTTTGTAATGAACTAAGAAATAAGATGTGTACTTAAGAAAAATGTATATTAAGTGAACTTATATATATATCTCATTTACTAAAAGGCTGTCGTAACTCAAAGAGCGTCATTGTCCAGGAGATGCGTTTAAAGTTTTCAATTTACTCTCAAACTGCAGAAAATGTAGATGCATATTATTTTCCCAATCGGAAACTAAGTAAAGTTTTCGGACGAAATTTTTACACGTTATGAACCATTATATAACGAGTAGTTGTGTATCGTTAGCTCAAAACCTAAATTTGATGAGTTACGACACTCTTTTTTATATAAAGCACTAAAATTTTTTTTGTTTAATTTTAATTCAAGTCGCTAATTCAGGAGGCTGCACTAAATTTCAGTATTTTGTTTTTAATAATTTCTTTATGCAAACTGACCCACCCTAATACCTAAGAACTTTGAATATTCAGTTCAATGTGTACATAGTCACAATTAATTACAAATTTTAATATTTACAAATATACGATGATTTTGTGTTTTAGCCATTTTCAATTCATTTTTATTTTGCCAATTCTAGTTTATATAATATAAATGTAGCCAAAAGCTTTGCCGTGAAACATGAATATGTACAATAGCGGTACTCTATAGTAGTTTGAGTGGAGAGTTAAATTTTAGTACAAGTTGAAGTATACATACATTTTATTGGTTTTACTATTCGCTTTTTACATACTTATATTTGTAACTATAGTGCTTTTTATAAATATACGACATCGGCGAATTGACAAGTTTTAACTAAAGTTTTTTTAAAAAAAAAAAAATGTCGTTCATTCTATAACAAAAACCATATTAATTTAAGCATGAAATATGCGTAAATCCACAAAGTTCCATACAAGTTTCGTACTTTTTATGCAGAATTTTTAACAACATTTTCGGTAAGCATACCCAAATTTTCCCAATTTTTATAAAAATTCTTAATAAAAATTGTGAAATACATAGTAGACCAAAATTTGTAGATTTTTGTTTTTTAATTTTTGTACATAGAAAGTTTGAAACTTGGATTTGTATGATTTTCTCTAAATAATGAACAATATTTTTATTAAAAAAGATAATTACAATTAAATATTAAAAAAATAAATAGTCAAAACTTGTTAATATGTGGGTGTCGTATAGTTATGAAAAGCACTATATGTATATACCTACATACTTCTTTACAATTTAATACACCTTGTTTTGGAAAGATCTATTATTAGTAAGACTTTTAGTAAAGCGAGCTGCTTGCCTTTCAAAATAAATATTATATCTTCAGTAGCCATATTTAATGAAATTTGGATGCGTGAGTGCAGTTTCGAAACTTATGAATGAGAAAATTTCTGGCTCATATATTTTAATGCACTTTTCGTTAGTTCTGATTTTTATTACTTATTTTGAAAGTATAATTTTTTTTGTGCTTCCATAATTGGTTTTCAGTTACAGATATGTAATTAAAATAAATAGTTTTTAG